TTTAATAAAAGAATGTATAATTACACATGGTGGGGGTGATAAGAATCAAAAGAAATAAAAATTGTCACCATAATGTTGTAAGATTTCAATATAATTTTATGAGCAAATTATACAAGCTAATAAGTTTAGACATTTATCGAAGTAAAATCATAAAAAGTCCTTAAAAATCTTAAAAGGACTAAAATGATTTGGTTTATTTATTAAATTTATTTAATTGTACTAGAATTATAATTGTATTAAAGATGTATAAAAGTATGGAAATAGAATGGTTAAAATTTATGAGTATAGAGTTGTGACCACAACCAAAATCAACTATTTCTTAAAATGATAAGAATGAGACAATAATGTCTAGAGCATATAAATGATATGCAAAATGAAAAGTTTAGACATATTAGCTTGAAGTGATTATATTATAGATTCAATATCAAGTAGGGGTAATTACCATAAAAGAAAATTGAATTTCAAAATATTTGGTTAATAATACTACAAGTAGAATGGATTTAAACCCTTGCTATTAGACACCAATAATGGGAACCTAACTTTGAATTAGTAACCTCTAATTACAAAATTTAATGGATAAAAACAAGTTATTGTTGTAAACACTAGTAAAATCTATTCAAATTTTAGAAACTAGAGTGATCCATTGCATGGAAAAAATGAGTTTTTATAATCTTAATAGAGTTTTAAATGTCTAAAGCAATGGAGACATAATGGAAACTTTACCTATATAAACATAAAAGTGGAGCCACTTCAACAAGAAGAATTAGGGTCTCTCTTATAAATGTTTATAAATAAAATAAGCACATGGTTATAATAGTACTAAAAGCGATTATAAACCTTTGATAAAAAAAATAAATAAGTAATATGTATGTTATATCTTTAATTCTAACACTAGGGGCTGAGGTTTAATTTGTAGATACCATCAACTTCGTTAGAATTCTAAGATATATACTCTAATTGAATGTTTAAATTGAGAGATATCTTCTTGTATTCATAATATTTATTTGTGTGAAAGATAAAAATTAAGCACCAACATTCCAAACTAGTAGGAGATTGTTGGTAGTTTAAAATGTGGTACATCCTACATTTGATAGAAAGATTTAATTATTGATGAATAAAATTAATTTATATTTTAAATAATTATGTTTGAACAAAAACAATTATCATATGAAAAATGGTCATAATTATTTGAATATAAATAGATTATTATTTATATAGAATATCATAACCATTTGAATAGAAGTTTATATCTATTCATTCATTATAAATAAATGTTTTAGTATAATCATTTTCACTATTTTTGATTGAAGATTTTGAGATTTTGTTATATCCTAAAGCCTCAAAGCCAAAATTCTTTTCTACTATTCCTCCTCTTATTTATTTTTTCTAACACACACATGTATATATAAGTATATATATAATCATGTTATAAGTTATAGTATTTTCTAATAAAATAATTTTTTTTAATTAAAAGAATACATGTTATATTAGATTACATAATTGAAGATAAATACGAACACTCGTTCCCATCATTAACCTCTTAGATCCCATTTCAAGTTTTGATCTTAAAATCTTTTAGTTAAAATTTCGAATTCTAATTATTGAGATATCTTTTCTGAAAACAATGTATTTAATTAACTAATACTTGCTTTTTATGTATTAAGAGAAATTAATACTTGCTTTACGTGTTTGTTATTTTATTGATAATTTCCTTCACTCAATTAAAATTTATTATATAATTTCTTATATTATTAATTGTTTAATAATTAAAATGGAGTAATGAATTTGAATTAGATTGTCACTTTAATAAATATGTTAATTAACTAATGGTTAAATAATGTGAAAAAAAAATTATGATTGCTAATATTAACATGATCAATACTAAGATTAACTTTTAATAACTTTTTTATGCAATTGATTAAATTACTATTAATATATTAATTAATTGTTAAATTTCAGTAGTACAAGAAAATTTTAAAATTTTCTTACTTATGCTTTAACCTTTTAAACTTTTAATATTTTATGTATTTTTATATATTATATATTTTTAATCTTTAAAAATTTTATTAAAAAAATAACACAAATACTACATTCCATGCCATTGTGATGTTTACCATGAGCTTGCTAAAGAGTATACCGAAAGTTGTCAATATAAAAATTTTTTTAAAATGTAAAACTTTGTACTTTGTAATTTTTTAAATGATTGCATTATTTTTTTTTAATGAAATTACAAGTATATGAAAAATTATAATTATTATTAAATATTGCATCTATATATAAAATATTATTAAATAATTAATTAATAAACTAAAATATAACTAAACAAATCTAATATATAGTTGAATAATTGGCAAAAAAAAAAAAAAACACATAAAATTGAATCAAAGCCATACAGTGAGATTTAAACATAAAACCTCATTATTTTAATTTGATACAACATATCGTGTACAAACTAATCTCGTCATTCTTATATATTTGATGCTAACATGGTAAAAATAAACCGTTTCCAAGCAATTTTACATTTAATTAAATAAATTTCTCAAAAAATTAATTAAATGAAAATGATACTTTAAATTTTTAATTGCGTATAATAAAAGAACTATAAAAAATTAAAAAAATAAAATGAATTTTAATATTTTGGGCTTTTTATTATGCATCTTTACTTTGTATATCAATGTATTTAAACAATATAATTAACACATATCCATTTGATGCTTATCTTAATTTATTAATTTCTTTAGTAATTAGTTTAATATTGTACATATACATTGAATGTTTAAACTCAGTAAACCTATAACTACATAAACTACAAAAGAGCTAACATAGCTAATAAAGAATTTGAAAAATCGGTTTAAAATGTTCGAATCCAAATCCTATTTAATTTGATTTGATAAAAATAAGTTAATGATTTGAACATGTTTAATCCAAAATTGAATTTATTTGAATCTAAATTAACCTAATTTAAAATTATCGAAATTCGATTAACTTAAAAGTCTAATTTTAAATTACTTAAAATTTTACTGATTTAATTTTAAAATTTAATAATTTAGATTTAAAATTATACGAACTCAATGAATTGAACTAAAATAATCTAAATGTCAAAACCTAAATACTTAAATCAGAATTATCTGAATTTGAAATAATTTGACTTCAAACTAACCCAAATACAAAACAGCTTCAATTTTTTTTTAACTGAAATAATTCAACCTAAGTGATCCGATTTACATTCAATTAATTACCGGCTATTCAAATGACACACTATATGATTTATTAGTAAAGTACAAAACTTTTAATTTTAATAATTACAGTTCAAATCTTAATCACCTAAAAATATATATATAACAAATCCATTTACATTAACGTAACTTTTATATTTTTTAACTTTTGAATCAAATTTATATATATATATATATATATATATAAACTCTTACAATCTAAAAATTTTCAGTATGTATATATATAATATTTTTTATATCTACATGAGTGTTGGTTCGCATAATCATAAATTTAAAGAAAATGTATGATTCTTGAGAAAAGGCGATATATAAGATTTTTTTTTTTTATTTTCAGAATATCTCATACTCAAATTCATTCGTTTGATTGAGAAAAATTCACATATATTAAATCCTAAATAATTATTATAATCTCCTTGACATATATGATGGTAATTTAAATAATCTAATTTTTAATTGAAATGGATTATTCAATACATTTTTTGAGAGAAAAAAGCTTTGATAATCCTTACAAAAAATTGAATAGAGTTATTTAAGGCGTTTGTGACTAAAAATACATTTAATAATCCGTTTTAATTTTTATGAAGGGATTATTGAAGACGTTTTTGACCAAAAATATCTTCAATAATTCTTTCTAGTTTTGAAGGGATTATTCAAGGTATTTTATGTCAAAAATACCTTAAATAATCACATTCAATTAAAAATTAAAATAGATTATTAAAAGCGTTTTAGGCCAAAAACATATTCAATAATCCCCTTCACTTTTCTTTTGAGATTATTTAAGGTGTTTTTGCTTAGAAAACTCCTTCAATAATCTCTTTAGAAAAAATTCAATAGAGTTAGTCAATGTTTTTTAGTTAAAAATACCTTGAATAATCCCTAAGAACATGATAGGGGATTATTCAAAGTTTTTCTTTTCAAAAACGTCTTCTATAATCCTTTCTAATTTTTATAACAAGATTATTTAAGGTGTTTTTGTCCAAAAAATACTTTAAATAATCTCTTAAAAAAATTGAAGGGGATTATTGAAGATATTTTTTGGCCAGAACGTATTGAATAACTCTATTCAATTTTTTTTAAGGGATTATTCAAAACGTTTTTAGTTAAAAACATCTTGAATAATCCAAAAAAAATTGTAACAAATTATTAAAAGCATTTTTATCCAAAAATACTTTGAATAATCCCTTATAAAAATTAAATTAAAGTTATTCAATGTGTTTATGATCAAAAACACTTTCAATAATCCCCTCATAAAAATTTTTAAAATTATTCAAGATATTTTTGACTAGAAATACCTTGAATAATCCCATTATTTTTTTTTGTAAGAAATTATTAAAAACGTTTTTCATTCAAACATTATATATAAATTAAATTTTTTACCAACAAAAACTTATAACTGAATTGTATTTATTTTCAAATTTATTTTTTAAAATGATAACAACTATTTCATAATTTTTTAGTTAAATCAAATTTAAAAATAATGCTACTTTCTTTTCCTAAAATCCTATAATACATATAAAAAGATAAGTTTTTGATTCTAAAACTTTCAGTACCATTGAGAATCTATCAATTTTTTCAAAATCAAAATATTTTGAATCAATTATTAAAATTAAATATCTAACAGTAAAATTATGAAAAAAAAATTATGTAAATTCTTCTGAACCAAACGCCCCATAAATGTATTTACTCCATAAATGCTTTTTAGTTAAAACTTGGCAAAATCTTAATCACACGCAAGGATATAGGCAAAGAATGTACACAGAGTCACATTCACGTGATCAACAGCAAATAATCATTCATCTATTAAAATTTCTAGTTCTTCATATCTTTCTAGGTCTTTCTTTCTAAAGTCAACTAAACTTTCTAAATTTCTTATTAATAAGATAAAGCTTGTAATATAACGTACTAAAAGTTGATAAAAACCATATAAATGCATCAATGATGTCAAAATATGTAAAAGACCAGACCTTCAACTACAGGCTCAAAATTTCATGTAATTTTCTTCTTTTCAGATTTCTCTACCAAATATCTGGCAAAAAAATTTTGGTATGAAGTTATAATGATACAGAATGTACATTCAATTTAAAGCTATACAATATTACATTTCCAAAGTCGTCCTACGTGGGCTTAAAAACAGCAATGAGGCAGTGATTCCCCGGGAAATCAAATACCCAGATTCCGTCAAACATCCCAATTAGCTGAGACATCTCATCAATCAAAAAATTGAGCAACTGCACCCTCTGAAGATTCAGTCACTAGAGCAGCTTCAGCAATTCTGAGTGCCATCATGGCTTTGTATGTAGCCATATCAGCATTTTGCATTAATAACTGCGCCCGTTGGCGTTTGAGGATAGCCGATTCAACAGATATGTTTGCTGAAACTCTAGCCTCTTCAACTTTAACCATGGCATTCTGTTCTGCCATGGCATCATGTTCAGCTGCCAGTGCTGCACAATTACAAGTGATACAAATTTTAGCGACAAATCTGAATCCTATAACAAAACCAGTACCAAAGAAATATAGATACCTACAAATACACAAAATACGAGATGTTGGAATTGGGGAAAAAATACCCAGAACAAGGTCATTGGACAAACATTGAGAAAGGGGGGAAAAATCTATCAAAATTATTTAGAACACTGCAATTCTCATGGATATGCATCAATGCTACTGCCTCATCCATTACCCAATGGAAACGTGAAGTTTATCACATATACATTGTCAAAGGCATGCTAAAAGATAATCACAAATGAAAATCAGACTCAACCTGTCAATCGAACATGGCTACAGTAATCAGAAAATTTAACATACCTTGCAACAAGCTTGGTTTCTTGCCTCTTCCACTACTAGCCTGACGATTAAATGACCTCCTTTTACGTAGAAAAGGCTTAGGAACTAGTGGAGCTTTCTTGACCTGATGACCCTGTTAGAATAGAACATTCATTTTGGTCAGATATCTACAAGAGTCAAGTGTAAACAATGTTAGTAGTTGCTTACATCGGTCTACACGCACACCAACACACCAGAATGAAGAGCTAGGAGACTGAAATTCAACAACGGCAGTGATAAATATTTGGAATTTTTACATATCTCTTGGGATGACAAAGGTATATAAAATGATCAATTTATGACAATTGTTTTTCAATCTCATGAAACCTATGATACCAACATTTCCCCATGGCAGCAGATAAGGACGTTTCAAATTCTCTCAGAATTAGAGAACAGAACAAAAGAAAGTTCACAGCAAGAACACTTGGGTGTTTTGTATTATCCCATTTGCATGCAAGATGGTTGACCCAAAATTTTAGGCCTCAAATAAATTCAACTTAAATGGGGAAAATAATGAAAAAGGTCAAAAATTGGCTTGACACTGTTAATTTTGTTGTAATTTTTTAAAAAATATATGAACATAATCATGTGAAACTGACTGTGTCTTGTATATCTTGATTCTTGACTCAAATGTAGCATCCAATCACACTAGATGTAATATATAGAGAGCATTGATGCAACTGATATAGCAAAGGTCATTTAACCTTGGAAATACAAATCTATGAAGTCATTGCGTGACAAAAAATGGAAGAATCATATAAAGAAAAAGGACGAAAAACCCTTTCAACAAGTGTATATCATTCCATGATTAAACTTCACTGAAATTACAAACAGGTACACTTGGAACACAAGCTAGAAATTTCTTTATTTATTGAGTTTAGTTTCCCGAATGAATCTACAATTAGATCTATGTCAATAAAGAAAGTTTACAGCAATATCCATTTCCATGAATTGTGAAGTATTTCTACAAGGCAACCATACATCCAAAAAAAAAATTGAAAGGAAATATTGCAAAAATGAAATGATGCTAGCTAAAACATAATGCTGGATTTACCTGAAAAACTCTAAGCAGCGTTGATCGTCTCTGCTTCCTTTTTCTCAACCAGTAGGCATGAACAGCTTCAACCACTCCTCTACTACCCAGATCAAGACAGAGACGAGCAGCAGCATTCTCATTAGAGTAATCATATGGACTACAGAAATGGGCCTTTTCGAAAGCATCGACCATCAACTCAAAACAATCCTCTGAAAGAAGCTCACAATGCCCATTTCCAGAAAAAAACTCATTATTGAACTTCTTTAACCATTCCTCATCTTCCAAGTCCATGTCATAATTTGCAGTCCTCTTTTCCAAGGCTCTAGACACCTCATCCCCATCTAAGGAGATATACAAATCTGGTCGGCGAAATGGTACACTGTATCTATCTTCAGACCCTGAAACTTCACGAACCCCAGGCACGGGGATTACCTTAACAGTTGAAGCAGGCACATTGCGCTCATAACATTCCTTGTAAAGATCCTTGAAAATGACCCAGTCGTGACGATTCGGAAACTCAAGCTTCCAATTATCATCCCCAGTCCAAATTATAGCATGAGTGAAACGGTTGCAAGAACTGGGCCTCATAAATTTATCCACCTTGAATGCATACTTAGTTGACTTATCTTTTTGTACAACAAGAAGCCATTCTTGTGATGCAGAGAGCTCTAAAGTGACAATGGCTCCTTCTTCCCTGTAACATCTGTTGGGTTCAATGACCAATATATTGGCAGAGCACAGAGATGAATCTACATTCTGCATTAAATCTGATATAGAAGAGCTCACATCACTTAAGTTAGCTGCAGAACTATCGAGGACTGAACTCCTAAGCTTGTTTTTAGAAACTACAGAAGAAAAAGGAATCCCATTTCTTCTACTAATGATCAAATCAGACATTAGAGCTCCATTAGCCTTGTGTGCGCAAACATGTGAAGGATTTCTAGCTCTCTTTCTCCTCAGTGAACTCCTACTCTTTTGAATACTGCGAGAACTCAGACCATTTCTATATTGAGCATTTCGCCCTGTTAGTTTGGAAGCTCTAACAGATGGATGCAAAACAACCTTGCTCCCGAGATTATCAATCTCAACCACAGTAGAACCAGTCACACTCTTGGAAACATCGATAACAGAGGTTACACATAGTTCGTCTTCTTCACTGTCACTCATTATTTCATCACTATTTACAGGAACTAATTGCATTCGCTTCATTCTAAGAATCATACTGCAATGCATACGCATAAAACAATAGGGAACTGCAGAAAAATCCACAGAAAACAACGGAGTAGACTCCCTAGCCCCAGAAAACTTGCAAATTCCAGTTCTATTTGCAAGGGGTCCCTGAAAATTTTGTACAAAGAAAACCAATATATGAAGTGCTCAAACCGGCAGTCAAAGTGGCATTTCTTTCACAAAACTAGGTAATTATTTTTGAAACTTTACATACTTTGATCTGATGAAGGAAAAAGGATAAAAAAACTTACCCAAACGAATTTAACACCATTTGAAGAGTAAACACCAGATATTGGCTGAGACATCAAAAAGGCAGTAAGCTCAGATAACCTTACTTCAGTCCTTTTCACATAACCCAAAACCAAACACAGAAAACTAGAAAACCAGCCATAACAATCTCCATTTCCCACAACAAAAGCTAGCATTCTTGACTCTTCCACATTCCTGGTGGTCTTCCTCCTCTTACTGACCTGCTTTCTGTTAAACTTTTTCCTGAACTTCCTCCGATTTGAATTCCCTGAAAATGGTCTCTTTTGAACCTCAGTTCTCTTCCTTTTCCTAGTATAAACAATCCCAAACATCCTATCTACACTACCACCATCATTTATAGCTTCAGCTTTCCTTTTCCTGGATTGTTTCTTTGGATTCTCTCCGTGGCCTAATCTTTTGGGCTTCCCGTTTACCTCAGCAGGAGCTTTATTTACTTCAGTCTTTGGGGTTTTTTTGGTCGAGTGGTAGTATTCATCACCTTCATTACTGGGCTTCTTGGGCTTTACTTCACCGGAATCGGGCCATAGTCGCCGCCCGGAACGAAGAACCAGGGCCTCCGAGCCCTTCGCCATCCTGAAAAACCTTGTCGTCCGCCTCATCCCCACCGTAGGCATTAACGTTCGGTTCTTCTGCTTATACCTAACTCCTCGCTCGATCCCAATTAACCCCAACTCCCCGAGTCAACTCAGTAATTTCGCTCCGAGTCGACTCGGTCGATACCAGAAGAATAGACGAGGTAACTCAATTGAAAACAAAAACCAACCCCTAAAAGCCCCGCTCAACTAAGCACCCCGTGAACGCAGCAGAAAGCTTTCAAACATATAACCAAAGGATGACCCTCCACTTAAGAAGCGGATCTAGACACAAAAAACCAATTCTACAACTCGGTTGAACTCAGATCGTTCTGAGTCAGCTAAAAAAAGTTTAAAATTTTTTACTAAAAAAGGAAGTACAGATAACTACGCCATATAGCGAGTAAAGAAGAGAAGAGAGCGAGAGAGAGAGAAAAAAAAAAAAAAAAAAGACAATCGCACAAAGATCGATCAACTCCAAATATTCAGAACCAAAAAAATTCCCACAAATCAAACCAACAGAAAAACAAAAGGAAATTTTTTTTTTTTTTTAAAGCTAGGTCTCTCTCTAGAAATTAAAGAGAGAGAAAGAAGGTAAAGCAAGGGTCAAAATAGAGTTATGGAGTTTTATGTAAATCTTGTTTTTGGAAAAAAAAAATTGAAGAGAGAGAGAAAGGGGGAGAGAGATGGAGGCTAGGGTTTATGATGATGTGATAAAAAATAAAAACCACTTAAGAGAGAAAGACAGTGAGAAGAAAAGAAAATAATGGGAAATTGGTAACGAATCAGCCGAGTGATGGCAACCGTTGATTTTGAAAAATGGATGGTTCAGATTTTTCGATGGCTCCAATGGGCCATTTTTCTTTTTTTTCTTTTCATCTTTTCCTCTGTTTTTGTGTTTCTTCCTTTTGGGTTTTTAAGAAAAAAATTGGATTTCTTTTTTCGGGTTGAGGTTTTTGAAATGGCGAAAATGACGTTTCTGAGATGGAGATGGGGGAACAGATTTGGAAGGGTTATGGATGGGGCTTTTGGGGAATTCATTTGGAACGTATGATGATAAAAAGCGGCGATAATTGACTACTGTAAATTGGGAAGTTAATATGGCGAAGGTAAAGCAGTCAATATTGAAAAAAAATGAAAACAAAAGTGGATGACTAGATTTAATCGGTTATATTTAAAGGTCCACTTGGAAAGTGTTAGAATTTTGATTTTGACAATATTGAATTACAATAGATGCATCCGTCGTGATGAGATTAAGTGAGGAGAATGTCTTATACTAATCTTACATCAAATAAAAAAATATTAAATATGTAAATGTTAATATTGTATATGATAATAAATCAATTTTATTTTATGTTTGGATAAATATTAATAAAAAAAAATTTTTTTAAAGGAAAAGAAAATATACATGTAACATTTATTTGAATAATTAAAATTAATAAAAGAAATGAAAAAAAAAAATTCTAACAACTATTGTTTAGATAAAAAGTAAAAAAAAAAAAATGATTCATTAAAATATTTTTTTTAATTATAACCTTTTATTACTTGTGATTTTAGAGTACTCTTAGATCGTAATATATTTGATATCTTATTTAGCCTTACAATTATTGCTATATCAATGGTTTTTAATAAAGTGAAATAGGAAGATATTTTACAAATATGTATTGATAAATTTTGAGCTAATCTAACATCTCATAAACCTAAAAAATATATCTATTTATATTCAACCATTCATCAAAATTAAATCACCAAAAAATTATAAAAAATTTTTACATTGGAAGATATATATGAAACTTACTTGAAAAAAGAGATAGCTTTAAAAAATTACAGGATGATTGTGATTTATTTATGTATTTTTAATTAGGTTTTTAGTATTAATAAAAAGATTGACATAATAGTTTTTTTATAAATTTTTTTTTTCAACTTTCTTTTCCCTAGTTTTTTCTCCAAATTGGGGTATTGAAAAAATTAGGTTTACAAGGGGAATCAAAAGTTATTTAGTTTCCACTTCTTTTCCTTTCTTTAAATTAAATATTTATTCAAACAAGAGAATGAGAGTTTTGTTTCTTTTACTTTTCTTTACTTTACTTTACTTTCCTTTCCTTCCTCTATCCTCAATCCAAATACACTGTTAGAGAGAAAGAGTACTGGTCACGTAATACATGCACCACACTCCTTATTTACTATAATTTGATATAATTGTAGCGTCATATTTTATTAACTTTTGATAAACCTTAAATTAGGAGAGGAAAAAAAAAATTTTGATGGGAAATAAACAAAATTTATAAAAAGCTTGTAATATACTTGTACATTGTTACAGGTTAAATTTTTTATTTTGTTATCTTTATTTAATCAATTTTTTATTAAAAATTTAACCTAATAAAAAAAAGCAAGAGGTAATAAAAAAAAAAGATGAATGTGACTATTTCGCTTGGCCTTTTTTTAAGGAAAATTATGAAAATTATAAAAAAAAACCAAAAAAAGGCGAAAATGTAAAAATGAAAAAATAAAATAAAACAAAAAATATAAAAAAAAAAAAAAGCTTATAAAGGAGCATTTTCATTGAGCTAAAATATGAATTGCTTAAATTAAAGTATCAAATAATCACTCTATTAATATATATAACAAAATTAATAATAAAATATATACTTTTACATGTACATGTATACTTGAAGATAATCAGTTTTAACTAGACAACAATATACACCAATGACATGAGTCATGATTGGAAACTCTTTATCAACGAAATACCAATGTGATTAATTAAGTAACTACTTTAATGTTAAAAGTGAATTGAGCTTGGGAAACCTGAATTTAAGCTTTTTTAGAGGTTGTTCATTACTGATGTCTTGTGATTTAATATATGTTCCAATAGGAATAGTTTTTAATTGTTGCAATTTAAAGTAAGCAAAAATGAATCAATAAAGCATACAACATGTTAACAAAAAACTCAGACTATATTCCTAAAAGCAACAAAAGAATTGTAATCAACAATCATCGATAAGTGAACATAACACCTCAAAATAGACCTTTTTGCAGCTATATAGTTCAATGTCTATTGTTTTGGAGTCACCATTTAATGCAACAAAGGTAAGGTTGGTTCCCTAATGCTACAAAATAGAAGCTCAGTTGTTTTATATTCAAAAATCATACTATATATATTACAATATGAATATATAAAACTCTAACAAATTAATCCATCAAGCATTAATTTTATTCAAAAAATTATAAATCAAAACCAAATGCTTATTGTTTTTGCAAGTGACTCTTCTACAAACAAATAAGTTTCAATAATGATAGGTGCCTATGTAACACTTTGTTGTTTTTCAGCCATCAACCCAAGATCAATAATCTATTCAGATGGAGCAACAGGCACAGAAGAAGATGTTCCATTGTTTTTAAAAAGTGATCCTTGTTCATTAGAGAAGAAACTCTTGTTGGTAGCAAATGCAAAAACACTAATTTTAATTAGTTCTTTAGCAAGGTTAATCTTGAAAATTTTTCTTAATCAATCAAGTTTTTGATAGCAGCAAATAGAATCATTTTATCAAGAGGCTTTTGAGTAGCAATCTAACTAATAGTGTAGACATTCTATTTGGTCTTGAACCAAATCATTTGGGCCCAATTCAATTAAGTCCAAGCCAATCCTGACCGAATTATCCATTTTTTTTATATATTTTGTTTCATTTTTAGGTTTTATGTTTAATTATTTTATGATTTTTATTTTATTTTATCCACACATATATTTATCTTGATTATTCTTTTTTATTTTTAATCTCTTGTTTATCTACTTTTTTATTTTATTTTGATTTATCTTTAATTTTAGTTCATTTATTTTTAAATATTTTATTTTACTTTATCTGATTAGTTTTTTTTTAAAAAAGATATAATTTAAAAATTAAATGGCTGAGAATTGTTGGCAAGTGATGATCGATTATGAAATTAAGGAATTAAGTTATTATCTTTAAGTGATAATTCATTTTTGAAATTGAGGAAGGATTTCTCTAAGAGATAAAGTCTATTCGGTGATAAGGTGGAATTTTCAATTTTGAAAAGTCCTATCTTCATCAGAACATTGATAAAGCTTTGATTTCCATCTATAAAAAGACCTATAAAGAACACACGGAAGACACAACAATAGAGAAAACAATTACGAAAGCAAACACAGTAACAGATAGTAGTTAGAGCAATAAAAAATTAAAAGAAGTAAAATAGGAGGATTTCTGGCATAGAGGTTTTCTTGAAATTTTGTGGAGTTTTGGTTTTGATTTGGCCATTTAAGTGTTCAAGGAGTTAGAAGGTTCAAATTGGTGTTTTTTTCGTGAAATCTCTATAATATTCTAGAGTTTTTTTTCTAAAAATTCCAAAATTCAATGAAGATTCCAGTGAGATTTGTAGTTTTTAACGAATTTTTTCGCAAAATACCCAGATTCTAAGAAGTTTTTTTTCTAAAAATCGATGAGAATTCAACCAGTGTTCATCCTTTTAGAGAGAGAAGCAAAAAAAAATTAAGGAAAAGAAAGGGGAAGAAAAGAAATCTAAAGGAAAAAAGGATTTTTTTTTTTTGGATTTTATATTGCATAGAAATGATGTCTTTTGAAGGATATTTAATTTGGTTGACCCATATGTTTTTCACTTGCTTGACTTGACCCGTAGTGCAATATCCATTTTCCAGTAGCCAGTATTTGAGTTGAGGCGAACCACTCTTTAAGTCGATCCAATCAGTTTTCATTCCTGTAGTCAAGTTGTGAAATGAGCTGAGCCAAGTCGTCCCCTTTTTGGTATTTTTTTTATTTGTTTTATTTCATTTTATCTATTCAAAGGTTGCTTATTTTAATTAATTTTAATTGGTATTTTTTATCTTTGTTATTTATTTTATTTGTGTAAATTTTATTTATCTTAATTGATATTTTCTACAAAAAAAATTCAAAATAAACTTATGATTCTTACCAAAAGATTGAAGGATTTTTATAGGTTTAAAAATTTTAAATTATGAATTCTACCAAACAATTGAAAATTTTCATAATGAATTTTTGAAAAAATAATTTTTTTAATCCTACCAAAAAATTGGAAGATTAAAATTTCTAAGTTAAATCTTACCAAACTATTAAAAAAATTAATGACCCTTTTTTGAAAATTTTTTAAAAATTTTCATAAAAAAAGTTTTCAAATGAAAATTCCACCAAACGATTAAGAGGTGTGCATCGATATAAAATCCTATCAAATGATTGGAGGATTTTATTGATTGCTTTCAAAAATAATTTCTTCGAAAAATACATTAATGAATTCGATGACGGAGTCTTTTTAGAGTGAGACATGAGGATTCCATAAATACTTTTGAAGTGAGAAAATTGTCTTAACCAAATGATTAGAGTAACTTTAAGATCAATTTTCAATAATTAAATTATTTGGTAAGAATATAAACATATTATAAGGCTTGGATAATATGCAATTAAATTGGTACCATCCATCAATAGGCGTTATGTGGGTGTTATAACCTTCCTTACACGTAACCGTACTCTTGGACTTAATTCTAGTTTTGTAGACTAGAATTTGCCTTTTAAATATACCTAAGTCAAGCTTGAATCTTTTCTTTTAAAATGGGATAGATTCAGTTGGGTGGCTAATCGTATCTAAACAAAAGAGATTGGTGGTGCTCCTAAAGTCATATCTAGCTATAGGTCTACAGATTTATACATTATAATAGGTTGGCAACTCTACTAAGGATCCCGAGAGTCAGGCCAGTAAATGATTTTATGTTATCCTAGCTTAACTTAATAAATTTATGAATTTTTGTTGTCTTTTGTGTTTTTTTTTTTAAATCATGTTATATATTGTCATCCATTTGCATGTGCATAATATGAGCTTTACACTTAAACTCTATCATTTTCGTGAGATTTCATGTCTTCACAAAGGCTAGTGAAATACTTTCACTCGAATTAAACCATTTCTATTTGTAGCCTATAATGGATAAGGATTTGGGGTGCTTTACTAGTTTATGATGGACAATGATACAA